AGAAACGGAACATCCCAACATGGTCAGGCCAACCGGCATCGCTACGCAGTTGGTTAAAGCTCCTGGCAGTTTGGGAGAGTGAAACCACCCTTCCGAAAGACAAGTGGGGGTTGAGGTTGTTTCAGAGCTTCGCCGAGAACTCCCAGCCCCGGAAGATTGCCGATCAGATTCCAATGCATGAGCTGCTAAGCGAGCTCGGATACGGATTGATACTCACGCAGTTGCTTGCCAAATACAAGCCCTTCCTGGACATTGCTGGCCCAGCAGCAATAGACCGCTTCCTGTACACAGGAGAACGACACAAGAATGAGTCGTTTGCCGCTTTCCTGGCAGCCAAGGAGGTCGCCAGGCAAGACATGGAGCTTCATCTTCAAGAAAGGCTGTCTGAGAAGGTGGCAGGGAGAGTTCTGTTGAGGCAGGCAAACTTGAGTGACTTTCAACGGGAATTACTTGCACTCAAGGATCAATCCCAGCTCCTGACATTCGATCAAGTCGCGGCGCTCTTGCGGCCCTTGGATCGTCCGGAGCTGTTGGCCCAGGCAGCCGGCACAGAACTTGGCACCGCTGGGGCAAAACACTTCCCGGTGGTGACGGACGGCAATCCCGAGGATGAGGAAGAGGACGAGGAGCAATTCCTTCAGGAAGAGGAAGAGGAGGAGTCGGACAGCTTGCACGACGACGAGCTCTACTTTGAGGACAGAGAATACAACGAGGACGAGGCTCTGTTCATCAGTGCCTACCACAGTGCCTATGCCGACATCCGGAAGGACTTGAAGGATCGCAAGAAAGAGCGCGGCTTTGTTCGTCATCGAGCCTCTGCCTCCCAGGGAGGTAAAGGTCGGGGCAAAGGGCGTCGGCAAGACCGTGGCCGTTCTCGCGATCGTGCTCCTCCTCGTCGCTCCACTTTTAACAAGGTGGATCCCAAGCTCATCAAGGGGAGTGGCACGGATCTACAGGCTCGAGTTCGCTGCTTTAACTGTCAAGAGCTGGGGCATTATGCGAAGGACTGCCCCTTAAAAGGGTCTGGCAAGGGTTCTACGCCATCCTCAGCTGGACCCAAACGAGCTGCCTTCGTAGTGTGTCATGGGTCGCCCGCAGCCACCCAGGTTATGGCAGTCTTTCACCAGCCGCAACCGCCCAGCATGGATCACTTGCAGATCTTCGCGGGCATCAGAGTCAGTGGATCGCAGGCCCTCGTCGACACCGCCGCGGAGGATGCAGTGATTGGCAGCATTGCGGCGGATCATCTTCAGCAAGAACTTCGACGTTGGGGCCTCCGCTGCCTCCCAGTTTCGCAGGATCAGCCGATTCCATGTGCAGGCATTGGCGGCTCGGCCAAAGTGTGTGCCATCCTGGATGTGCCAACTTGTGTGGCGGGCATTCTCGGTGTGGTTCGCTTTTCTGTGGTGGAAGACTCGGCAAGTTTCCAGACGCCGCCGCTTCTTCCCATCTCCTACTTAGAAGCGATTCACTCGATTCTGGATTTGGGCAAGAACCGACTGTATACGCCCGATGGCCATGAGTCTCCTATGGTTCGGCTCCCGTCTGGGCACAGGGCCATCAACGTCCTTGATTTTGATCAGACGCCCTGGGAGCTGCCCGCGAGCTTTCGTGGTCCCTCTGGCGTGGACCCATTCGCGCTGCCCGCTTCCTCGGCCACTTCTTCTTGGGGGGGTGTGGCAGCTGCAACGGTGACTAG